CTTATTTGCAGGCAAAAGCTTGGTTAAAAAAAAAAAAAAGAAAAAAAAAAATTGTACTGCCAACTCCTGACTGTAATGTAGAAGTAATCTGGGTGGCTCTAAAGCTTCTCAAACACTTCCACAGGGCAGCAATGTGTGCCCCCTCAAACCGCCTGGTCCCTGGGACTGGCACAATTGCTTAGGTTGGCTAGTGGCTGGCTAGTGAAAACCTATTACATCGATATCCCCTATGTGGAGTGAAACCAGAAACGCTCAACTCCGAGTTCCTCTGGGTTCAGAGCTGTCAAAACCCTGGCGGCTCTAGTTGGGGAAGGAAGCAGATCAAGCACAATCTTTGCTCAATCTTGGGCCTAGTAGACCCTGTATATCTCATTAAAGAGAACCCGTCACCTGCCAAATGATACCACATAGGGGACATGTCAGCAACTTTGTGATAGCAACAAAGTGAAAATAGTGCTTTAAAATGTACACATGCATGCACGTGATGATTGGGTGACCCATATTAGTTATTGCCGCACACACAGGAATAATTCTAGGTCTATTTACATGTTGAAGCCATGGCCATGTTAAATCTAAACCAGTGAGCTGTAAATAATTTTTTTTTAAAGCATCACCTATGGACAATTTTGAATATCTTAATTTTTTGCTGTTTTGGAATTTTAAGGCCTGACCTATTTGGTATAATTTGAGAATTATATGGTTTGTGTGCACTCAAATTAATGTATTTAAAAAAAAACAAAAAACATAGATTTGAAGAAAAAAAAAAAACAGGTTGTATAGATACTGTTCCACATAAACATCTGCAACTACCATTCTTTTATCCTACAGGAAAATATTTAACGTTTCAGGGGCTTCAGGGAATTTTAAGGTTTAAGATCCATGTTTTAACATGTATGAAAAAAAACAAACAGTGTACTGGACTTTCCATGACTATTTTGTTATAGGTCTGTTTCATGCTCTTATAATGTACATAAGAGACCACTACCACTGCTATACTTTATGAGGTATTCTTCTACTGGTCTTTCTAGTTTCTCTCAAGCTACACTAAACTAAAGACTAAAGACTAGCTTCCCTACTACAGAACAACAAAACAACACAAAAGAAATACAAGGAGATGCAGTTTAAAACCACAACACAGGATAATCATCAAGGGATAAATAAGAAAAATACAGAGAGGTGATACACAAAAGATTTGTGCTGAGATTTTACCTGCCAAGGCTTCCACAAGCAAATGGTCTTCAAAATCTGATCCCCAACAATAGTCATTAACCTTTCATTGCTATATTCCATTTCACAGCAGCAAGACAGGATACTAATAATGTTTGTATATGACAGTTCATCTATGCCATCTATAAAAGACAGAAAAATACCTTCAAAACAGATGAATGTGGGAACATAACCTGCAGTTCGAGTTTTCTTTCCTATACCATAAAAAATGCTGCCCATACATGTAAACAGCAAATGGTTTGCTCTCTCAGTAGCAAGAAATTGAAATTGCCCATGTAGCTTAAGCTGGCCTATCACTGGTAGATTTCCGTGGGAACTTTCATATGAAAAATCTAAATCAGAACATACAATACTGCCATCAGAGACTTGATGACAAGAGACTAGAATTAAATTAGTTTGAAATGTTGTTCGGTTTTGACATTCGATTTTGGAAATTAATGGGGTTTCTTGAATTAAAAAAAAACAAAAAAAACACATTCACTGTTATTATTTTGTTCGTTCGAGAAAAAGATTCCATCCTGCTCCTTCATTTTTTTTTGTCACTATGATCAAAATCAATTTGACCCCATTAACTATGAGAAGATTGAACGAAGGTTCCGAAAAATGTTTCGACTGAAATTCTAGCCATGTATACCCAGCTCTGAACTTAACAATGATGTTGCAGAGCTTTTAAAGTACAGTTACACGACCTAGAAGCTGACAGCCACTCGTATTACAAATAAAGCTGCCCACACACTTTAGAATTTCAGACTGAATTACAGAATTAGCAGAGCATTCAATTGAAAGCCCTTAATTTTGTCCAGACCTGCTACTTGAATGTAATCCCAGATGTAATAAACAGGCTTCTTTTGTGTATGTATGTATGTATGTATGTATGTATGTATGTATGTATGTATGCATGCATGTATGCATGTACCGTGTTAAAGGTCTTAACTTAGGGCTCATGGCACTTCCCATCTATTAAACTGATACTACACGGATATCCTTGAACTATCAACACTATGAACGTCCATATCAAGGACAAAACTTCTGGATTGTGTTTTTTTTCGTTAAACAACCAAAACCATATCGCCAAGGGAAGAGGTAAGCTATACACAGAAACTATGGCGGCTTGGACATGTGAGTAAGACTATTTTTTTCAATGGAAAACTACCCCTATTGTGGATAGATTAAATGAAATAAGATACCCCTATACGCACGTAGAAAGCAAGGGAAGACTCACATTGTAACCAATATCCTAATTAACCATCTCTGTTCAGGAACACCAACGAGTGTAACTGAATCGCTGATATCCCGCAAGGAAATAGCTTACCTCCAACACCCTAAGTGGAACGATAAGAAGCAAAACCTAAACTACAGGAGGATAATACAACTAAAAATAAGCAAAGGAAAAAGCTAATACCCTGTGATATACAGATATAAATACCCTGGAAACTAACGGGTTGATAAACTATATGTTACCAAAAAGAACTAACACGAGAAAAACAAAGTATCAAAACTAGAACAATCCACCCGCAATAAACGGGCCGAGTTAATTATATACGGAAAGGACATCCAATGTACTAAATAACTGCTATACTTAACTGGGAAACTGCCATAAGCCTTGACGTAGGTGTTACAATATAAAAAGGGGATAGATAGTCCTAACAAAGGCCACGAAAGCAACAGTCAGCTCTGATTTTTTCTACTCTGTTTTTAACTGGTCGATAAGAGATTGGCCATGTTTGTTTTTCTTTTGATACTTGAATAAATTATGTTTCAAATAACTTCAACACTTATGGTCTGTCCCGGTCAGTAAATTAACCCTTGGACTGCCTATACTAAATAGGCGGCCCGAATCTTTTTTGTTTGATTTACACTGAATGTAACTTGTGCTTGTACAGATTTGTATTTTGAGGGCAGAATTGTGCACAATATTATAACGAAGTGTTCGCGTTTTTGTAAACATATCATTACCTACCAATGAGTTTCTGACTGCAAGCATTCAGCAGATGTTCAGAATAGAAGTCGATATCAGCAAGGACACAAAATAGGTTTTTACTCTGTGCAATGTTAAATTTGTCAACCATTTGTAAAGCTTTGTCCTAAAAAAAAAAAAAAATCATAAAAAGAAAGAAATGTTTTGTACTTCAAAATACTTCGGTAAATATGAGATACAGTCATTTAAACTCTTAGGAGAAAAAAGAAAATGAAAAACACTGCAAGGGTGACCCCGACTATAAATAAGTGGGAGAGCGAGGGAGAAGACTATATTACATAATCTTCTATAGCCAAATTCTGCCTCAATCTCCCTCCATTGGGTATGGGGCCTACAGAAGTCTATGGGCAAATCTCTAACACCGAGCAAGAAAGAGAAATCCACAGAGCTTAATTTGTGGAGTTCTTTAATCCTTTTGAGCGGGGAGGTCATTAAAACCTTAAGGCCCAGGTTAAATGTAGCCGTATCAGTATAGCGGTAACTTGGCTATAACCCTATGGCTAATTTAACCACCTAAATAATTGATACATTTTTTAAGGATATATAAGCATTTAATTAGGTACACTGTTAATTTAAAATTATTATTATTATTATAGGCTTTCCAATGGACCAAAATGCAAAAAAAAATAAAAAAATGATTTAGTTTAATAATATACAGGTATTCCTCACTTAACGACCGAGTTCCGTTCCTACGACCAGGTCGTTAAACGGATTGGTCGTTAAGTGAGGAACTCTATACAGTACTATACTGCATTAGTACAGTACTGTATAGCGTTGCCGATGTACAGTACCGAACAGTGTACTGTACATCCGGCAATGGAAATACTTACCGAGACCTGCAGTGAAGATCGGGGGATGTCACTTCCGCCGGCGACCCGTCGCACTGACGCTGACGCGGAAGGTCGGAGGTCGATCGGCGGTCCGTCGTAAGTGCGAGTGGTCGCAAAACAGGTAAGTCGGTAAGTGAGGAACATCTGTACAGTGTATTCAGACTCCCTTCCCTTTTTTCAGTTTTGTTATGTTGCAGCCTGATACTACTGTTGTTTAAAGTCTTTTTTTCCTCAATCTTCTCAGTCAGCACCCCATAATGACAAAGTGAACACAGAATTTTAGAAATGTTTGCAAATGTATGAAAAAGGAAAAACTGAAATATCACATTGGCATGTAAACAGCAAGTGGTTTGACCTCTTGCAACAACACTTGAAATTTAGCTCAGGTGCCTCCCATTTCTCTTGATCGTTGCATAGATGTTTCTGCACCTTGATTAGAGTCCACCTGTGGTAAATTGAATTGATTGGACATTATTTGGAAAGGCACACACCTCTCTATAGAAGGCCTCACAGCTGACAATGCATACTGTATCAGAGCAAAGGCCATGAGGTCAAAAGGAACTGCCTGCAGAGCTTATTATAAAGCTGGCCATACACCTTACAACCATCGCACGACTTTGGTTGTGCGATGGTTGTAAGTTGATTAAAATTTCGTACGATCTGCCCATCTTGAACAGGCAGATCGTACTAGTGATCATCGCAAGCCCTCCACGCTTGCGGCATTCGTCTCCCAAGCACGCCACTAGCCCGCTGAAAAACGTACGATTTTCGGCAGGTTTTCAAGCGTGCTCGGAAGACGAATGTGCTGCGACCTTACAGTAGTAGAGGTCGCACGCTGCCCATACACCTGGCGATTTATCGTACGATCGTGGGATCACCCACGATTATCGTACGATAATCGGCAGGTGTATGGGCACCTCAAGACAGACCTGGGGTATGCTACAAAAAAAAAAATCAGTACCTGCCAACGCAGCCTGCGCTGACACAAGATGAGAACAAGATAAATAAGTGATGCCAGCCACAGATCCCGTCCCTTCCTTCTAGAATATAGGGCACAAACCTCCTATAAATATCGCATTGCATGGGCCACCATAAGAACTGACACCTAAACTAGCCATAGATTCCAGTTACCTCTGTGCAACTGCGTGACAGCAACTTTGTAAAAACAACTGCATAAAAGCAATTGCAGTCATGTAAAAGTCAAAAGAATCTATTACTGTCCTCATAAACAATTACTGTGAGAATCTAAAAAAAATTGCATACGTTACTAGAGTCTGCAGTAGTGGACATTAACCAGTTGACATCCGCGGTGTTAAACCCCCTTCCCATCCAGGCCATTTTTCAGTATTCAGCGCTGCGGTACTTTGACTGACATTTATTCCGTCATGCAGCGCTGTACTGAAATGAATTTTATACCCTTTTTTGGGGACAGATAGAGCTTTCTTTTGGTGGTATTTATTCACCACTGGGGGTTTTATTTTTTTACTATATTAAGGAAAAATTACCGAAATTTAAAAAAAAAAACAGTTTCCCCTATATTAAATGATAAAACATTTATTATTACCCAATTTATTGGTAAAATATAAAAGATGGGGTCACGTCGGGTAAAAAGACACTAAACATGTCAAGCCTTAAAATTGCGTGCGCGCGCGAAACCTCAAAAAACGATAATACCCAAAATTGGCCCTAGGCGACGCTTTAAAAGCTGTTACCGCTCATCAGTTTAGTGTTATCAGTGATTGATGGCCCTAAAATGATTGCTCTCACTGCGACGTTCGCGGCGATATGTAACATGTGTAGCGCAATTGTAATTTTTGCGCGCTGGGGCACCGGACGCGTATTTACGTTTATAGGCGCGTAAACGTGGGGGTGGGGGAGTTAAACATTTTGGGGGGGTTTTTTCCCCTTTTTTTATATGTGGCTTTTATTTTATTTTATTTTTTTATGTGTTACTTTTCTTTTTTTTTATTTATATTTTTTTTTTTGCACTTATTGTTATTGCTATTATATAGGGGGATAACAACCCCCTATATAATAGCAAAGGCACACTGACAGGTCCTCTTTATGGAGATATTAGGGGTCTCTAGGACCCCTAATATCACCTATGGACCCCAAAAGAAGCTGATAAAGCAGAGATCTGCTTTATCAGCTTCTTCTCTCTCCAGATGACTGACAGGTGAATGCGGAAGTGATGTAACACACATCACTTCTGCATTCACAGCCCGGACGGGGATCAGCAAGGAGCTGATCTCCCGTCCTCCTCCTCCTGACGCCCTCGGAGCCGGTCCCGGGATCCAAGATGGGGCAGCGGATCCCGGGAATCAAGGTGAGGGGTCAGGGGGGGTGCCGCGAACGAGCACATATAGGCGATCGGCGGGCTATGGACCCGCCGATCGCCTATATGTGAAACACCCGGTAACGGGTGTGTGCATTTAGCGGGTCTTTTCTGCCCGTGCGTACCCGCAGATGCTGCAGTGCCGTCCGTCCGTTTTTTTACTACGGGCGGACGGCAAGAGGTTAACAATGTGAGGTCATTCAGCTCCTGCACTTACCTCAAGCTTTAATCTAATTTTTAACGGTGCATTTCTTCCAAGGACTTTCATCATGGTCAGAAGTGGCGTCACTTCATTAACCACTTCAATTTTCACAGCCATCAGTAAGCTAGAAAAGAAAATATATTTTTTTTACACTTCTGTCAATGCCAACATTGGTTTAAGTCATAGATTGTCTAAGAGCAACCAGTAACGTGCATATAGAAAAATTAGTGAGCTGCTAATGCAGAGCCTGGCAAACTTTTCTTAATGTAGGAGCCAGTTCCAACAGCTAGACCTAGATAAGGGTTTATGCACACAAGCGTATTTACAGTGTTTTCTGTCCATACATTCTAAACCACAGCAGCTGCAGCGCCAAAGGGCTGCAAATACAGCCAAACTTTATGCTGTATGCAAACATGCCTGCGTTTGTTCCCGAATATGCCCATAAGTCCTACATTTCGCATGATGACGATCCAACACAGTGCAGCGGCTTTTACTTGTGACATTTGGGCTGCTCAATAACCCCGAACTCTACCTAGAAGGACGGGGATGTCAACCCGTTGTATAAAAGCCATGGGAAAGGAAAGTAAAAGCGCAACTATACTTCCCTCCCCACCAGCAATATATTGTCGGCAAGCTTCCTTGCCAACACCAACACTTTTGCCCAGTCTTTTCCAGGTTTGGGATCTTAGGTCATCTTGATTGGCTGGGCCAGGAAGACTTATCTATTGCACATGCAAAGGGAAGGTTATTTATCCAGCAGATGCTGAAATTGCTCACTGAGCTGAGAATGCTTTAGGTGCTTGGTAATTGACAGAAGGGAGAGTGAGCAATTCAGCTTATTCTTCTAGCAAGTGGATCGACAAGTGACCACTAGATACAGGGCACCTGGTATGTAACAAGTTCTGGTATCCACCAAGTTCTGGTAAATGGAAAAATATCTGAGAATTTCCATTCTATTACCACTCCCACAGAGTGGTTAGAGAATAGCGAGGAGTCAGGAGGACAGGATTAGGAATACCTGGACTGCACAGCCCCAAGATTAGGAACAAGTATTTTTAATACACGAGGTTATTAGCAACTAGTGATGAGCCTGGACTTGGTGTGAACCCAGTTCACCCAAGCCTGCTCAAAACTGTGACCGTCACCCCCTCCTACCGACCCAATCAGTGGTGGAAAGGCGCATTCCCCGCCCCACAGCTAAATATCACAAAGGGATGGGGAATGTCCCCACCGCAACTTTCAACACAGAATGGGCCAGGAGGGAGGAGTGGCGGTCAGAGATTTCTGCAGGCTTGGCTAAACTCAGACCCATCTCTACTGGCAACAATGCAGTTTTTTTGAGCAGGGAACATTTGATAAAATCTCATGGGTGGGGTCCCCGAAATATTTAGGAAATCAGTGAGTGGATAAGGAATTTCTTTCTATTAAAAATGAATTAGCTATATCACAGAATTGCACCCTTACACAGCGTAGACATAATCTGTCCTTTCTTTGAGGAGGATACATAAAACAAAAAAAAGTCACTGGTATCATGAAAAAAATTGATGCCAATATTAACCTCTTAAGTCCCCGTGGCTTTTTCCGCCCCTATAACCCCCTTGAGCCCAACAGGTATTTTTTTTCTTTTATTTCATAGATGTCCCGTTTCCTTACAGCACAGTCCTGTCTGGCAAGGTAGGAAACCTTATTTTCTCTGCTGAAGTTAAGTAACAACTAAAGGTCTTGTCCCTGCTCCAGCCGGTGACTTGACAGTGAAAGTAGAAGCAGCAGACCAATGAGCCCATCACTCTGCTCTCTCCTCCTATCATCACATAAATACTGCAACACAATTGATTAGGACGTTGTGCTGATTCTCTCTCTTCCATTCCGAGCTGTGCTGTGTGGGGACTGCATGAGACAGATATCAGGTACATACACTGCTTGCTTTGAAAAAAATAATTTAATTATGTATAATGAATCCAGAGCTGCATTAATTAGTGTCTATCTGCCTGGAGAGGAGCTTTAAAAAAATCTTTCAAAAAGAAAATCTAATTCCTCCACTAAGTTAGCAATGGCAAGTTTACATTTGTCTCAAAAGTACACAAAATAAATAACATTTTATACAGACTATATAAAAGCTACAAATCTCACAGAGGAATTACAGATCATTCATTTTATGACTGCAGAGTCTACTCCACATGTATTCAAGTCTTGTTTAGTGCATAACAAAATTCTTACCGTAGACCAGATTTTAGCAGATCCACATTTCTGTCACTCCTTAGATATTCCAAAGCATTGGCCAAAATGACAATTTCTTCTTCATTTAAACTACTCAGGTTTTCCTGAAAAAAATTAAAACAGGGGGAAAAAAAAATTATGCATCTGCATGCACTTATGAAAGTTGATACACAAGAAGAAGCACTTGGACAGGTTACAGCACTGATATGTGCAATTGGTGTCCATTGTTATAATATTGTTAATCGTATAATCCTGTTTTCAATGGTATAAAATCAGGAAAATGGCAAAAAATGCATGAAAAGGAAACAATTGACAGAAAAACTTTTCCAACCATCGTATATTTGCAATCCTCATTCACACTGCAACAAAATAAGCCTTTTCTGCGTGTGTTTGAGCAGAGCGACACTGAGACATATTGAGTTTTTTGAGCTACAGTGCTACGTAGCGCTTCTTTTGGCATTTTACCACAGGGACTTTGTAGATACATTGGGCAGTATACAATCAAAAGGTCTTTGATGTGACATAAATCCTTTCCCTGGTTCCTGCTTCTGTGGAAAGTGTTCCTAGATTTAAATTCTGGGCAAAAGTGACACTTGTGTAGCGCGACATCGCACTACAGTGTCACGCAAAAATGCTGCTAATGAGCGACATTGAGCTACACCTTTGAAGTCTATTGGGGCCAAGCAGCGCATAATCCTCCAAAAAATTGCTTATGTTCGAGTTACAAGCGACATTGAGCTTCAAGATGTGAACGTCTCCATTGAAATGCATTGGAAGAGCTACATTGAGCTTCATATTTGAGCTTTTTTTTTAGCACAAAATGCGCAACAAAACACTCAGTGTGAATGGGGTATTAGGCAAAGTAGCATTCACGTACCCTCTGTGTTTTACAAATGCTATGATGCCTTAATCTGATCATCTTCTTCTTTCCTGTCGTTTTTTGCAGTCCCTCCAGCGCTGGTTCGGGTCTCCGATCCAGCGCCGACTCCTCTGTGCTGGCTGTCACTTCCTGTCCCACGTAGTCTGTGAGATCTACTGAGCAGCACCACAGCAAGGGTAAGTGTCTTTTTTCCCTACCCAGAGTTCTTCAACCACCTCCGGTCCATGGCCGTTCCTGAACGGCCGGATGGCAGCCTTATAGGAGCGGGAGGGCGTCTTGCCACCCCCTCATGCACGGCGCCCAGTGCGCACACGAGTTAGGAAACTGTCAGCAATGTAAACAGCCAGCGATGTCTCTAGAGATGCCCGATCGCTTGTAGTAAGTGCGGGTGTGCGCCCCCCTCCGCCTCCATCGCTGCCGGTCCCAAGATCCGCTGTGCCCGGTGCGGCTGGGACCAGTATGGCGACTGTCAGAGGAGGTCAAAGGGAGATCAGTACACGTTCTCCCTTTGATCTCTTCTCCTGTCCCCGAATACAGGAAGTGATGTATATTACATCACTTCCACATTCCTCTGTCACTCTCCGGTACGGAAGCCAGAGAGAAGCTGATGGAGCAGATCTCTGCTTCATCAGCTTCTCTGGGGGTCCCTAGGTGACATTAGGGGCCTTAGAGACGTGGGGTGCGTCTACGTGCAAAAACAATAATTCCGCCTATTGTGCCGCACATGTTACATATTGCCACGAACATCGGAGTGCGGGCAATAATTTTAGGGCCATGAATCACTGAGAACATTAAGCTAATGAGCGGTAAAAGCTCTTAAAGCCTCCTCCTATGGCCAATTTTGGGTGTGGCCTTTTTTGCGATTTCTCGCAATTTTAAGGTTTGACATGTTTGGTGTCTATTTACACGGCGTGATCCAGTCTTATAATTTTACCAAAAAATTGGGGTGATAAAAAATGCCTGGTCTTCAAGTGGATAACAAATAAAATATTTTTTTGTTAGTTCTCACATGATCAATGAAAAAAAAAAATATAGAGCTGCAGCTAACGATTATTTTCAAAATCGATTAGTTGGACGATTATTAAGTTCGATTAATCGGTTAATCGGATAAAAAAATTAAATACATTTAAAAAAATGGCTCCAGTGATGGACTACTAGTCTGTATTGAGATTGTAGTCCATCACAGGAGCGAGCTTGGAGCGGTGGAAGTAAAGAAAAGGGAAAAAAAAAGGTGTGGTGTGCAATATAGTGAAATGAAAAGTGTAAAATTATACAGCAATTAATGTAGAATGGCACCGCCTATTAAGGACTACAAAACCCAGCAATAGTACATTATACAGCACAATGCAGAATACCACCAGCTGTAGAGGAGTACAACAAATCCCAGCAATAGTACGTTATATCTGGTAGTATTCTGCAGTGTGCTGTATAATGTACTATTGCTGGGTGTTGTAGTCCTCTATAGCTAGTGGTATTCTGCATTGCGCTGTATAATGTATTATTGCTGGGATTTGTTGTACTCGTCTATAGCTGGTGGTATTCCGCATTGCGCTGTATAATATATTATTCCTTGATTTGTAGTCCTCCATACAGCGCAATGCAGAATACCACCAGCTACAAAGGAATACAACAAATCCCAGCAATACATTAAACATACAGTGTACAATGTATTGCTGGGATTTGTATTCCTCTATAGCTGAT